AGCGACCAGAGGGACTTCTGCATTTCTTGAAATCATACATCCAGTCATTATAATGCAGTGCACAAAAAAGCCAGGACAACTGAGGGCTAGAAGGTTTTGCAAAATACTATGGGACAGCAATCATTGTAACTGTACAAAACTTGCTCTCAACGTAACATAACATAAAGGCACCATTGATATCTTTCCCCATTTTTGAAATACTGTAAAAAATTGCTACATATGGCACATAACACATTTGTACATACGTATATTTAATTTATAAAAGTTTTTTTTTCCTCTCCTGTTTTCTATCAGCGGAATTGCTAAAATAAAATAAATTGTTTAATTTAAAGGTGGAATACTTCATTATATAAAATAAAGTTTTACATGTGAATCTATGTGTTTTACGTTTTATACAGCAATAGGGTCTTGGTTAGCTATCACACTGGACAACCTTGCTTGCAACTCTTCTGGTGTGGAGAAGCGATTTGCCGGGTTAGTCCTGCTCTCAGCCAGCCGGTAGGCACCGGTCGGCTCCAGACTGGTTGCCACGGGGTTCGGTATGCTAAGGAACGGTGTATCCTCACCTATTCTTTCGTCTTCGGTTTCGGTCTCAGAGCTGCTGCTCTCGGAGGTTGTGTCAGAGTCCACATCCACCCTGCTGGAAATGTGGCCATTGGGCTTTGTTCTTTTCACCCTTCGGTTGTTGGTGAGTTTCTTTGGAGGCTCCTGTGCTGGTTCGTACTCCTGTGTGGTCTCGTACTCCTCGTCCTCCACTATCCGCAGAGGACTTGGCGGCAGGCTGTTGCTCTCATGGGCAGGATTGTGGTGGAAGGAGTTGAACTGCTGAAGGTGGTGGTCGTAATTCTCACGTAGCCGTGGTGGGGTCACCAGGAGCAGCGGTCGCTCCTCTTCTATGAAGGGACTCACTGCCACCGAAGGGACAGAGACGGTCAAGCTGGAAGCCGGTGGCGACATTTTGGAGGGGGGGGAATTGGGAGAAGTCGGAGTGTGGAAATCGACAGGTGACATGCGAGCTGGTGTGGTCATAGCTGAGACATACCTGAAGAAAAGAGACGGGGAAAGGTTGCAAGCACAGGAGCAGTGGTGACATGGGGACACAGCTGCTCACGTCGGCTGGGAGGGAAAAGGCAGGGGTCCCTTAAGGTCCCCAGCATCCTCACACAGGGCTACAAGGGAAACTTTCCTCTTGCTATTAATCCTAGAAAATCACTGACTTCTGGGACTCTGGACAAAAACATTTGCGAGCAGGAGGAGCATGGCAAAGCCCCCAGGTCTATTTGCCTCAGAAGAGCCATGGAGATGCTGTAAATTATTTGCCAGAATAACTTCCTGGAATGAATCCAGGAATGGGATTCAGAGACTGGGGGGCTGCCAGAAACAAAATGCATTTGCAAGTATCTTCTCAAAAGGAAAATGGCTGCTGCACTTCTGGCAGGATTTGACCAGAACCTGGGGTGCATGCAAACAGACAGGAGGAGACAAAGGAACAGAACCGAGGGACAGTCCTCTTGGGGCTTCACCGTCTTCTGGCCAGATTGTCTCAGGCTAAGGAGGAAAGAAAAGTTTGAACAAAATCCAGAGCTGTATTCTGCTAATTTTAATCATTGGAGGTAGTCAGAGGAGGATTTGCAGCACCAACTCGGTGGCTTTGTGCTGCTCCACTCCTTGGGTACTTGTTAACCTGGCTGGTAGGTCTATCTGCAAAGAAACATGGAATGTTATTTGTCCTCATGTGGGAACAAATGCTGACAGAGAGGATTGTCTGGCCTAGTGTTCATGATTGCTCTGCAAAATTTGCCCCTATTCCTTCAGAAGTTTCTGTGGAAAGGGTAGTGGTCAAAGGTGATTTCTGAAAATGAAGCTCAGGTGCCAGTACAGAGCTTGTCCCAAAGGAAGAGGACAAAAAAATGTGAGACTCTCAGCTGGTTTGAATCAGTGGAGCTCCATGAGATGCTACGAGGTCATGCAGATTCATGCCAGGTGAGGATCTGCCTGAAACCTCTTGATCAAAGGCACAGTGCTCAGCATGACATTTTTGTGTAGTCTGGCTTTGCTTGTGCTCTTATCCTAAGTTCACCTGCCTGAACTTCATCTGTGTCCAAATTTAAAATCTTTTTAAGCTCCATCTCTTACACAGGCCCATTCAGACAAGTTATATGGCTATGATCAATGAAATTACTTAGTTTTTCATTCATGATTTGTTTTTCTGAGTGTGACATCATTACCAAAATAAATCTGAATCCAACTTCCTTATCCCATCTATGACTCAATTGCACATATTACACTTGATTAAAACAGAGTTACCAGATAAAAGAGAAAGTGGGACAGATCCTGAACTGATGTGTGGTAGAGTAAATTGGTTTCAGCAGAGGCACATTGATTTACATCAACTGAGGAACAGGAGAAAGAAAAACAAAACTGGAGTTATGCATGGGAATTAATCAAGTTGGTTGCTAGTGAGAGCAATTAACAGGTCTAGGCATTGGATGAATGAAATCATTCTTTATTTTTTCCTTCTATGAGTGACCTTTTTCATCCCTTTCACATTTTTAAATAGGCATTGTCTGAAAAAACTGAAGCCTTGCTACTTGCCTAGCTGGTAGTGTTGGACATACATCTTCTTGACACACTGGATTTTAGCTAAGCTGGTTCAGTTAACACAGTTAGTTAAATGTGTGCAGCGTACTGTGCACGCTTCCATCAGGGTCAAGTTACTCATACTGGGGTGTTGTGCAGTCACACATTTCTGGTGCATTCCCCCCACCATAATGGGGCAGCGCTAACAAGCTGCTGTCCATGAGCTGAGGCACAGGAGCTGAACACATGCAGCTCTAGCCCATCCGAAACGGAAGGCTAAAAGGCAATAGATTTATCCAGCTTCACAGCCAACATGAGGTAAACCATGCTGGCTCAGTGAAATGGGATCAGAGTGTATCCACAGACAGCCAACAAGCATTAACTAGGTACATGCTGCCAACTTCATCATATAGTCCAGCCTTCCGTGCAGAGGTGGTGATTTTTGATCTTCCCTCCTGAAAGACGGCTGAGGACTTTCTAAAATACAGGTGCTTGGGTCCCCTGCTCATGTGAACGGGTATCAGGGCGCGGGATACAACAACAGGATGGGATAACGCAAAAGAATCCCTCGTAATGTCTATTCTATTTAATTTCAAAATTGTGAAGGAGCTGGGGGACTGGAGGGTGGAGGGAGCACAGCCTTGATCTACCAATTCACAGCACAGCAACATTTGATGGCTTCAGGACATAATTTGTCAGCTTGTACATTCCTTTACATTTCAGAGTAATTTTTAGTTGCAAATAACTCTCATTTTCCCCCTTATATACACACACATACACACAATCCATCTCAGAAATAATCTGCCATGCTTGCTAAAAATAGATGAGGCCTAACTTAACGCCCAGGGAGCTATCGTCTGCATTCCAGTTTCACAGTTGTTTCAGGCACAGGCTAGACCATCAATGCCTGGTGAATTATCACAGAAACGTGGCTGCTTTTCACCTGTAGCATAATCTTCAAGAAACATGATAATTGATGAAATGCCTTCTTTCTTCTCATTGAAACGGATACGCATATGTTCCTTTTACCCCCTAAAATCTAAACAGCTCATATCAGAATGATAGTCTGGGTCTCCAATGTGGGAAGACAGCACAAATGATCTTTGCTTCTCATGCGCAGATGCCCAAATATACTGAGCTGTAATACCTGCTGTCGGCAGGCGTGTGGCTGTGCATCCTGCATGGTTCCCAGGCAGAAGACAATGCAATATTTACTGCTATAGGTCCTGATCCAGCAAAGCACTTAAGAACATGCTGAACTCTACCCACATGAGTAATCCCGCCGCTTTCAACGGGGCTACTTGCACAATTAAAGTTAATCTCGTTGAAGTGCTCTGCTGGATTGGGGCCATGGCTGTTTATGTCATGTGAGCCACATATCCTGAAATTAAATTCCATGGTAAATAACAGACAACTTTGTTATAAAGAGAGAGCCAGTTCACTATCCTTAGTGGTCCTACAGGCCTTATTCGGAGAGCCCTCAGCTGTGGTGCCTTATCCTGCTGCTAGGCAGTTGTTTGTACAGCAGAAGGTGTACCACAGAAATGGTTTTTGCTGTACTTGCACATTCACTTTTCTGGAAACCACAATTTGTCTCTTACACAACTCAGTCTCTTTGGGGATTGCCTGGCTGCATTTTTGACATCATGGACATCCCACAAGATCAAATCCCTTGTGATTTCACAATGATCAGAGAATTGGTCCAGTAACCCTTTCTTTTACTTTTCTTCTGCCTCTGATGTTGGGAGCAAAGCTCTCTTTAAATGTCTTGTTTCTTCTCAGTCTTTCTTTTGCTACTCTGGGGCCATCCCATGCTCTTGAGATAAAATCCTAGCCTAAAGCTGAGAAGACTATTTTTGGTAAAAATTTTCTTGCAATTCATGCACTTCAAGGCAGACCTTAGGTACTGATCAACCAGCCTTTTTGGTGAAAAAAATTACTTTGTTGGAAGACTTTTCACCAGCTTTATTTCTAACTACTCCTGATTTAATAATGACCTGGGTTCTTCTGGCTTGCACTTTTCGTTCCTTGTTTTTATTTAATAACAGGGAATTTTTGAAGAACATAATGGTTTAGAAGCTGGAATTCCCCAGAAAGCAGGCGGCAGAATTCCTATACTGCTTAGGACTCCTTAGTGCCCTCCTCCTATGGATCAATACATTGCCTTCTCCCCACCTTTTGTGTCTCACAAAGTCCCTCAGTTTTCACACTTGCTTCTTCCAAGAAACTGATAATTAGGCAAAGATTCGTTTTTACTTTACAATGGAAATTTCTGACAAATGACTTCAGTGGAGTTTATCCAAATGTGAACTGCTGGCTGTTAGGAATTAATCCTATTTAAAGGAAAGAATTTTGTATTTAGAGGAAAGAAGGGAAGAAATGCTTTTGGTAAACTTTAAACTACTACTGAGCTCTCCACCTTTACGAATGAGAAAATGCACACCCTACATGAACAGCTGCACTGTTGGGTTTCCTCCTGTGCTCCCAAGCTTTGAAATCCTCTGGGAACACCAGGCCTTGCCAGTTGGAAGAAATGAGGTGGTGTGTCCTACCTTTCACTGTGAGGAGAGTCTCGGTAGGAGTCAGGGGTCTCTCTCGCATGCCGGAGGAAGCTGTTGCTTTCCCGCGGCCCACCGATGCCATTGAGTCGGCCCCGGGGCCCTGCTGGGCTGGTGTGCCTGCTGTTCTCCATGGAGGAGCTGACGAGCACCGAGTGACTTTCGGAGAGGATGCTTTCGGTGTGGCCATTACTCCAGCTGGAGAGCAGCAACCAGGAGAGGAGAGGAAGGGAGAGGAGCGTGAGAGGGTGCATTGGTGGCAAATGCAGATGAGCAGAAGTTTAGCCAGGGGAAAGGAAGGGCTCTGTTGCTGCTTGGGATGCGCAGTGTAATCTTTGGGTTGGTAACTGGGGCTGCAGCGTTTTGTGAATTGTATGAATCCACATGCATCAAGATGATTTTGCATGCGTGGATAAAGGAGAGGGAAGGAGGACTCTTCAGTCACAAGGACTGTCATTGACTTATCAATTTGCATGTGCTAAAATTCACTGTAACAGTATTGGAATGCCATTGAGTCAATAAATCTCTTTGTAAATGCCTGGAAAGATAATTAGTTAGGTGATGTGACATGACATAAAATATTGTTAGTCTTGAAAACACTACAAAGGGAGCATAGATTTTTCTGGTTTTGATTTTTTACACATCTTCTTGGTTTTGCAGCAGCAACAGATCAGATATTACAGGTGTTGTTTGCCTTCCTCATGCAGTACCTGTGGCTGGGTGTCTGGGTGACTGTCACGGAGTGATGTGTTGTTGAGGTGTAGTGGCTCGTAGAAAATGAGGTCTCTGTTTCTCGCTCGATGACATGCTCGCTGGAGATTACATTTTTTGAAACATACTGCTGAAAAAAACCCAGACAAACCTCAGGTTTACAAACTGGAATTCACACCACATTTGCAGACATAATTTCCAATCCCTCCCCCCTCCCCACAAGTCATGTTTTTTTACATGTGCCAAAGCACAAACTTTGTCACTTAAATACAGGCAGAAACCACACTGACAAATTTGAGCAAATTCATGTACACCTCTGCATATATAGCCCACCTAAACTCAAAGTAGGAGGAAACAAATGAAGAAATTATCAAAGCTCTGTATCCCAATCAGGCTATAAACAACGTATGTATTTAACAAAGGAATGAGAAGTCCTCAAGGATAGAGACCTGGAAAGGCAACCGCCCCTTTACTACCAGATACATCAAAAATACTGTTCTCTGATGGAGAAGACAGCAGTAGATATCAGTAGGAATTGTTCATTGCAGGGTAAGAATCTGGCTATTTCAGTGCCCACGGATGCAGCACCAGGGCAGACCTATTCATCAGGGGATGATCTGCGGAATGGGCCGAAGTCTTCTGAGATGGAGCTAGAGGTGTGCAGTGCCCAACATCCCACATAACTTTCATTTGGAGCCCCCTCAATTCTCCTCCATGGGGACTCCTGGTTTTCCCTCTCTTGATAATCTGACTAGGATTTAGGTCTTTTGAGGGAAAATATTGGAAGCTTAGCTTTTCTGAAAAGGTGTCTTGGCCTTAACCAAGGTCTGGGAGCACTGCCATTGACCTAGCAGAGCCAAGGTTCACCTCTGCCACGAGCTGCCATGAATATGTCCATTGATGGCGGAGCAGGAGAGTGGGGATGGCTTGAGGCGGCAGGAAGCTGACATTCCCTCCGGCCACCAGGCCCCCCTGGGAAAGGGAGGAGATGAGGAAGTGGCTACAGGCAGTGTGAGCCCTGGCCTCCAAGGCCAAGGGGCTTGGCCAAGGTGTTAGCTGAAGACAAATGGCTGGGGGATGCTGGATGCCCTAGCCCTACCTCCGCAGCCACTGCTACTGCCCTGGTGAGATCTTCATTCAGACTTTTACCCCTGAGTTCATAACGTCACATTGCTGATCTGAGGGGGCTGTCCCTACACCAGCCATCAGGCCAAGGGCAGTAGGAAGAGCAAGACCTGTGCGTTTGAAGAAATAGATCCCTACAGCACTTAGACCTGCTGTAGAGCAGTTAGTACTTTTTTCTGAGGTGTTTTTCTTGCTTTTGGTGTCCTAGATTCACAGGAACAGCTGCAGCACTGTGGTATGTCCCAGTAAACTGGCCATCTGCAGAAACATATCTCATTTTACTGAAAATTTTTTGCAAAGTCCCTAATTGTTTCTGGGTGGAGTAAGCCAAGAGAATTAAGTCACCAGCCTGCAGCAGGTAGAATTTTAAAAGCTGTGGGGTGAGCTTTGCTGTGGCGCTGGCAGCCTAGGCTGAAACGCGGGCAGTAAAACCTACGTTCACCAGCTGGACGTTATCCGGTGGCGCGCTGGGGTGGTGCGGCCCATTGGCCATGTTCATCACATTGTTCCTTTCCGAGCGCAGGCTCTGCCGAAGGCGGTCGTGCAACTTTTTCCTCTGCTTCCTGTGCACGAAACACGGAAATTATTTTAATAGACAAAGGGAAAGCAGCTGCACCTTTCAGCATGTTGATGATGATGATAATAATATAACATCACTTTTTTTGCCAGAACTTTCCCCACCGCTGCAAGACCTCAGAGTAACTCTGAAGACCGCAGGTCTAATTGCAGCTGGAGCTGTGGGGACCTGCAGAAGGCAAAGGATGTGTGGGAACCCTTCCAGGAGTTAGCAGGCCACAGAGGGATGGGAAAAAGTGTGAGGAAGAGGGAAGCCATTTCTAAGCAATGCTCTGTCTCACACGGAGTTCTTTTCTGCACTCAGAAGGGAGGGGGGAGAGATTTTAACCCAGCCACCTTGACACCCTCACTGTGGCCATGGCCAGGTTTCTGACAGTCCACTGGATTACGCTTCTCCATTCATGACAGGGAGCCAAGGTGGCCTTGCCTCGGGGCTTGCTTGCAGCCAGTGGAAAACATGGCACATGTCATGATCTTCGTGATGTGGCAGCTATGTGGTTTTCTGTGGGATTCAGCCCCTACCTCAACAGTGCACTTCAAATACATACATGTGTTAAAGAAGTGAAGGGTGCAGAGGAAGCCCCAGAAATCCAAAGTGAGTGAGTGTGTGAGGTATGCCTGAGCTGCAGCCATCCTGGCAGCTCTGAAGTTTTCATTACAGCAACATCAGATTAATTCTGGAACCTAATGATTACCAGGTGGATGCCAGAGCTGCTAATGCATTCAGTAGCATTCATCAACCACATGTACTAATGGCATGGTCTCTGGCTGACTAGGATGTTTCTACTGTGCCCTGTCCTCAGCTGCTCCTTCCCCAGTTGTTAATCCTTTCAGCTCTCCTCAAGAGAACTTTTCAGGAGATCATTACAAGCTGTCAGTAACAAAACTTGCAGCATAGTAAAACCTGACACTGTGAAGGCCATGGAGAACACACTAAATAGAACACAAAAATAAATAACCAGGGAAACAGCTATTCAATTTCAGACTTAATTTATCAATATTCCCCAATTTTGTCTGATTATACTGGAGAGCTTCCACCATCCTGCCACAGAATCCAGGGAAATGAAGGGAGGATGCAGGCTCCAACACACTGCAGAGTGCATATGACCTTTGCTGTGGCAAGAGCTAAAATACACACAATTCCCTAAGCCATATGCAGAAATGCAGATAGTTTTGGCAGGGTTGGACAGTGTAAGTTATAACCATTTTCAATCCCATTTTGAACTCAAGGGGACTATTCCAAGCTTTCCAAAAAGGAGGGAGGGGGATATGTAGGGGAGGAGAAACAATAAATATGTTGAAGCTTGATAGCCAGGGAAGCTTAAAGAAAACATGACTTCACATTCTGCATTTTACATATTTTCTTTCTGTGTATGTGCCTGGATAGTGGAAGATACTTAATTTATGTCACTCTACATGAATGGTATAAGCAGACATGACTGCCTTGGAAATGCTCCTGTCTCAGCAGGACACAGTCCCTGGTCCATGTGGGCTTTGTGTTTGTAGGATAACCAGGCATCATCTTAGGACACACAGGTGGTTAAGGCAGATGGAGAGTGCGGTGCTAGGAGATATCTGAGCAGCTACCCAAAGACCAGCCTGGGCTGAAAAGCAACACAGACAAGGGTTTAACTTGATTTCACAGCACCCCTTCATGAGACCTTGGAGACCTGGGGTGATGAGGACAACTCAAGCTCCCTGACATGGTAGAGAAAGTGAGTTCTAGGGGGAGTCTGAGTTCATCATCTATGGGTCTGAGATCTTGGCACATATTGCCTGGGAATCTGTCCCTAGGAAACTTCATTACTTCCCATCTTCAGTGATCAATGTATTTGCATTTTGCATGCTTTCATGTGTGCCATTTGTCCTCTAGTAAAAGGACACCAACTAAAAAAAGAAATTACTCCAGGAAACTGAGAAGAAAAAATAATGGGAAAGCTAATGTGTAGTCCATTTATTCTGAGAAGCCCTTCCCTTAACGTAAATGACTTGCAAACAAAGCACCTCTGCACTGAGACTCAGTGTCAGGCAACATTGCCTTTGCATTTGACCAGCATCATCTCTTGCAAGGACACCAACTAAATCTAACCCGTTACATTTCATTTAGTGTGTTCTCCTAACACCATTCCAGGATTTCCCCTGGTTTCTGGGTTTTCATCCTATTAGGAGAAAAGAGCATGTGGGGAACATCTCACAGATAGCAGTTTGGCATGGCTGCTGCATTTGGAGGGCCATTAACTGGCAACTTACTCTCATTCTCATCAGCTGTGTTTGAAAGCATTTCACTTTTGGCTGGCAGTGATCGCTGATGTCTGGGACATCATGAGAAAGCATCCAGACATCTGATGGATTCTGGGGGCTCGTTATATAGAAAACTGTACTTCAGGAGCCTGACTAAATGTTTGTTGAAATTCATGGGGATGTCTTAGCATATATTGATGAACTTTGGACCAGGAAAGATATTGTTTAGCTGCCCTGGCTTGCCAGTTGCCATTTCTAAAAGCAGTAATTGATCTGATTCTTTATTACTGTTTCAGTCATTCCCCACTGACCACTGGCACAAGGTTGTGTGTGGGAGAAGTATGTGTGTGTGCCTGGAGTCTCACCAAGGGGGGCAAATGATTCCCCATCTCCCCTCCTTTTAACACATCCATTATTGGTGGGGCTTACAAGGAAAACCAACAACCTAACTGCCAATCAGATCCTGCAACAGTAAATCAAGTTTATACAAATGTGGAAGATTTATGATGAGGGTTTTCTGTGGGGAGATTTACAACAGCAGCCAGAAGTTTTGGCAGCAGAAATCCTGCTGATGTTCAGTGTAATTTATGGTCCAGAGTGCCTCACGTGTGTTTGAGAGTCACCCCCAGTAATTTACAGAGACTCACAGAATGCATTTAAGTGCCTACTTTTGCATTGGGAGCACTTTCATGTTCAGTTCTTTGGTGTTTAGTAACTTTTAGCACCATTAATCTAGCCTCAAGTACAAACAAACTAGGCTGATACCTAAAATTTACTGCTGGAGAGCAACATGACGCCAGGGTTGGGGTTTGTTCCTTTCCAGCTGGGGAAACCAGCTGGGCCGGGTGATAGGAAAAAAATTGCAACTCATTGAAATTTGCTCGAGTCACATTTGAAGGGCGAGAAACCTCTCGGATACCTGTCTTATTTTTGCACTGCTGATGGGCATGGAGACCTGCACTCATCTGGCTTGGACGAGAGGACCCTGGCCACAGGCTTGCCTCTTCAGCTCAGCTCTGGAGAAATCCAGATACAAGCTCATACTCAGAGGAGTAGAAGCTACAGTCAACTGGGAAGGCCCTGACCAACCACCACAGATATAAAAAAGAAGAGAAAAGTTTACTTGGTTTTGCAGTAGGCCACCACACACATGATGCCAACTACTAGAAGAGCAATGCAAATGCCAGTTATGGTCAGCACACGTTTCTGGTACAGTTCCTCAGCTTCTAGAAAGGGACAAAAACAGAGAAGGTCACAACATGGAGGATGGCTAGGAGCACACAGTCAACAGCTGGCATGCTACAAACCACTGCACAGATTCACACAGCCACACCAAAACACAGCCACCACACTTCAGGTAGACTTATCATTGACTGCAAGGAGAACAGGACTACACCATAAGCTCCTAACACAGTACTGGGGACAAGCAATCATCTCTACAATTACAGTCAAGAGTAATCTTTTTTTTTTTGTTTAAGTCAACAAGAGTAATATCTAAGCAACAACTTCACAATTGACAAACACTCAACATTTGTTGGAAATAAAAATGCAATGCACTAAGGTAATAACATGAATTTGCGAATGCTTTGGAAGTTTTACTCTGCAAAGACAGCTGGAATGAAGGCCATTTTTACAGGCCTTAAGAGAAATTTATTTTCTTATTATCTTTTTTGGATTGTTTTCATAGCCAATGTTCCTCTGCCCCCATGTCAATTTATATCTCAGTTGTCTTTGCACGAGAGATTTCAAAATATCCTTTTACATTTGAGACATGAGCTTGGCTTGTAATTATATCACCAATGGAAATGAAGACAGGTTTTGAGTTCTGGTCATAAAAGTCAGACTCCTTCTCCAGTGCTCCTCCAAAAACACAGCAATATCAACAACCAGCAGTGCCTTGTATCAGAGAAATGCTGGGTTTCTACTTGTGTCTTTTTGTGTCCAAAAAAGGAACTGCTCTACTATCTAGAGTGGCAGCTTGCTCAGTGATGACAACTTTACAGATATGGATTTGCATTCCTTTTTTTAGAACAAAAATGAGTGTCGAGCTTGGGTTCTTTTCTCAAGTCTTATTTTTGATTAAGCAGACAGCCCAGAAAACTTGCCCTGGAGGAGCCAGACTGGAGGGTGGCCTTAGCTCAGACTTCAATATTGACCACAGTCCTAGCACCAGCAGGTGATTTAAAAAAAAAAAAAAAAGAATGAAAGCT